ATAGTTTTCCATGAACCCCTAACCAAAGCAGATGACAATAGATTGGCTCGATGTATTGAAATTATTTCTGATTTTTTGCAGCCGACACATGTGCAGTATATGTAATTATGTATCCATCATTCGGTACATTATTTGTGTTGCACGCCATGGTGGCCTCCACAAAAGACTTGGTGCCTTCTACGAATCAAGTAGACATGGGCTCCAAACATTACATCCATCCATGATCCATATGTGAATAATAGGATGAGTACAATGACCTAAAGATAGCAGATATGGCCTCTTTCACTCCCTTCTCCATGATCCTCCTACAAGGCACGCAATCGAGGGACAAGAATGTTGAGCCGGTGAGCAGCCAAGCACGGGGCGCAATCGAGCCATCTCGTCCACTCCGTTGCCCTCCCCGATCGAAATCTGCTAGGGGTCCAGAAGAATATAGAGGTCTCGATCGAGCAACACTCTAAATGAGATCTAAATTATGCATTAGAGTAAACCAATAGTAGTAATGTGAAGTATAATGTATTGTTCAAAAAGTACGATGATATAGACTGATCGCCGATGGAAGATGAATAATTGATTAGAACTGGACATCAAGTATCCGTCTCCTTGATTAGTCATTCACGAGAGCCAAGAAGCACGATGCATGAAGGCTGAAAGAATCGACAACCAAACTAGGCTACATTGTTTGAGCCTTTTTGGCTACACAGATGCTTAACACAAAGCCTGCTACATAATATATACTTAGGGTATTTATATTAGGTCGACGTGGTTCTTGAATTTTGTTGGGGTCCGTTGACTCCTACAAAATTCAGAAAATCTTAATTTAGTAAATTATTATTTGATTCAAGGTTCACTGTACAATATATTTTAGCTGGCTGATATGATATTTAAGGCTGGCCTTTCCCTGCCAAGGATTTTACAACTATAATAAGTAACGACATATGTAGGGTGGAGTGGTAGGAGAGTGGTTAGGCAGGTGAGCTATTGGAAATGGATGCAACAGGACAGGGGGCGGCCGGTCGCTGTGGAGGGAGGGTGTCTGGGAGTAGTGCATAATGGCGGACAAGAGGAAGAAGCTAACCGTAGTGGAATATGTTGCGTACTGTTTCCATTCTAAAAGAAATCAATTTCTAATATTGTTCTAAGTCAACTGTTTTAAATTTGATAGAATATACTGAAAAGAGCACTAATATCTATAAAATTAGTATTACTAGATATATATGAAATATATTTTCATAATATACTTATTTTCTATCATAGAGATGATTTTATTCTTTTTATAAAGTTAGTCAAACATAAGAAAGTTTAACTAAGTACAGTTCTAGAAGTTTTGTTTCAGGAAAGAGGGTGAAATAGTGAAGCCCTATGCACAGGATCCCTTTTTTTCTTTTTTCTTTTTGTAAAAATTTATCTCCGACATAAATGGGCTTGTGGCAGCAGTTCTTGTTAATTATGTTCTAGGCTGGATTGTACCAGTTGGAGTTACGGTTGTAAGTGATATAAACTACTCTTTGAATTTCATTGGTATATACTATTTAATAACCATGTGAACATGCATGGTGTAGGCGTCTCAACTTAATCACTCCAAAGAGGTTAGATATAGTGGCCAAATGATGGACAAGTTATTTTTTCATTTCACAAACAGACATGACTACAGCATCTTCATATAAGAACCTTACAAGACTGCTACTGTTGCTACAACAGTTGGACCCTTTATTAATTTAATAATAACAAAAGTGTAACAAAGGGACAAAGAAAACAAATAACTTCACGACTACAAACAAGGAAGGACTACGATGGGCTCCAACTTTAGATTGGCTTATATGGAATTTATGGGTAGGCATTGCCATATCCAGTTCCGGCACTAGAACCGCCGCCACGGCCACCATTTTGACTATTTCCTGTGCCACCACCATTGCCACTAGCACTTGCACCTGCTTCATTTGATCCATACCAATACCTGTTAGCATAGCTAGAGCCAGAACCAGTGCCACTACCGGATCCTTGAGCATTGGAATTCCAAGCACCTCCGGCTTGTCCTCCACCCCCACCCCCACCGGCACCACCAGCATTAGAAGACTCTCCATAGCCAGAATACCGTCCTTGACTATATGTACTAGACCCAGAACCTGACCCTGACCCTTAACCATATCCAGACCCACCGTATTGGCTAGTGCCACCACCTCCACCACCCCCTCCAGCACTTGCATGGGTACCATAAGGACCACTATCACCTGATCCCGTGCCAGACCCAGACCCTGATCCCCCACCATTCACATATCCGCCACCCCCTCCCTGTCCTGTGCCAGTCCCATCAGCACTAGAGTATCTAGCCACCCTAACAGCATTGGCTAATCCCATGCTCATGAGGACAATGAGCCCCAGTGATACTAGCTTTGTGCCTGCCATTGTGAGCTAACACTATGGAGTGCTTGAGTTGAGATGGGTTCCTGGTGAATGCTGCTTGGGTTTTTATAGTGCTTGAGGCCATGCAGTGGTTCTTTACCTTCATAGCATGCACGTATGGTAGTGGTGTTTCAATAGGAAACCAAGTGGAGGCTTTTAAAATCCACTGGAATTAATGGAGCTTCTTGACTTGACCATAAATTTCATGCAAGTAGCAAGGTGATGGATGACACTTGTTTGGGTCTCATCTCCATTGATAATATAATATAATGGATGGCACAAAGTTTTAGCATTCATCGGTGTTTGGAAGGCCCATTGAAACTAAAGCTGCTTGTTGCTACGGTTTAAGTAGTTCACTTGTTTGTATTCTTCGTCTCGATATACAGTGAAGTTATCCTTCGAGTCATTGTCGATTTTTGGACCTGCACTGATACTAAATGTGTGAAATATTTTATTGATTGTACTGCTTTGTCTCATATATATATACCTGAGAACAAAAGGTTGAGGGTCATAGTTTCACAAGGATTATGGGCCCTTACTTGAACATATAAACTTTTTCTTGGCTTTTGCTTGGCATAAATTGTTTCCGTTGAAATACTTGCAAAAAACATGCATGCATACTGCAATATTATACTCTCATGCATGCTCATGACTCTATTTGACCATTCTCTCCATCACTGTGAAACACGCACAGCTAGCTTGTGACACGAAAATCAAAAGATCACGAGATCACACATATAAATGTAACCTAGGGGTTTATATATCTTTTTGTTATCAGGCTATAGCATTATACTAACATTAAAACTAGTAAATGTCGACCTGCATGCATGAAGTCTCAACGGGCACGTTTGAAGATCAACACAGGCATCCCCTGATCACCCGAACGATTCTATTCCTCATGCAGTGGTTGACGTTGCAGAGGTGGCGTCGAGATTTTCGCAATGACTTTGACAAATTCAGTCATGGACTTAAGAACTACTCCTATGTGTACCTGCAAATCTCGATAAGAAAGACAGCTCACAAGGTTAATCAGAGTACAATGGGAGCTGTGTAAGTAGCGAACCAATCCTTGAAGTCTTGAACCCTAAGCGTCATTCAGTTGCAGTAGTTTGATAAGAGTGGACGAAAGTCGGGCTGATATTGTCTGACAGTGGCCAGATAACATTGTGAACAAAATTCTTGCACAGCCATACTAGCTATTCTGCTATGTAACAATACTGACTTAAGGAAACATACTCGCAAAAAGAAATTGTAAGGAAACATTAAAACCGTCTCTTCCTTCGAACGTAAGGATTGATCTGCTATATATTTTTTTCCACGAATGACATGTCAGTTGCCTAACTACACTGTGAAGCAAAAGGGCCCATAGCCTAGTGGTAACAAGAGCCTCAGTAACACCTTAGCTCCTTGGTTCGACTCCCCGTGGTAGCGAATATTCCAGGATTTAATGGCGTTTGTGCTTTAAGTGTAGGTGACGTTCCCGTCGACTGCGGAGCCAGCCCTTAGCCATCGGGTGAGGCGGAGCCAGCCCTCCGACATCGGGCGAGGCGGAGCCAGCCCTCAGTCGCCGGGAGAGGCAGAGTCTACCCCCAGACGTCGGGCGAGGCGGAGTTCAGCCCTCGGGGGTCGGGTGAGACGGAGCCAACCCTTAGGGGCCGGGCAAGGCGTGGCCAACCTCCGGTCGTATGGACAAGAAGTGCAGTTGCGTTCTTGTCTGCTTGAAAGCATCAACGTTTGATGGTTATTAGCTTCACCTCATTGGGTACCCCAGTATTAGGTCCCCGACAGGGCTCATGGCCCTCGTTGGCTTAGTTGGCCTCAAAAGTCAAGGCCGCCGTCGTGGCCCCCATCCCATATTGGGTGGGGTCGTACATCTATCTTGTCGGGCCGTATTTGGACGGTGGGCCACCATACTGGCCATCACCGCTCGGCGGTGTTGTCTTGTCTGCGTTGCGTGGCGTAGGATGGCGTCTGACTGGGCTGAGGGGACTGCTGTCCCCTCGGTCCTTGCGGGGTCAATACGTCATGCGTGCTCTTGTCAGAGAAGGTACACTTGGCGGGGCTCGATCTCTCCCCGCTCCTCCCAGAGGTCGGGACGGGGGAGAGGTCGTGAGGAGTTGTGCGGCGTGCAGTGAAGGCTGAGGGAAGAGGTCGTGGCCTACCCTTGCCCTTGTGTTTGGCCTAGGTCCACGTAGCTTAGCTGGGCCTCGGTCGTTTGGGCTTATACTAGTTGGTGTACTGTGGGCTGTCCAAGCGGCTAACTAATCGATGTCTTGAGATACCCGGGGTATCATAGCCCCGACAGTAGCCCTTGAGCGTTTTTGCTATCTTGTAGTGATCGTGAAAGCGCTGATGTTCGCGTGAGTTGAGTGCGGGTTCGTTGTCGTGGGCATCGAGCCGTTGCTCGATCCCTTGTGGGCTAGTGCGTTCAATGCGGTAGGTGGCGTTCGTCTCATCCCGGCCAGACGCCTACTGACGGTGTGGTATGTGATCGCTAAGCCCGACCGTGTCGATGTGTGCTATGCATCGAGGGCACGTGATCTAGGCGGGCCATGTGGTCTCGTCGACGCTGCATCTTGGCTCTACGCCTTTGAGAGGATTTTGATTTTCCCGACCTCACGCGGGCATCGACATTGGCTATGACAGCCCGTGGTTTACGATGGTGTGGGGTCTCTGGGCTACTAAGTCCGCCCCAGCCTATAAATGAGGGCCCTCCTTCCGTTTGAACCACTTGCTCCTAAACCTTCTAAGTGGTTAGGCAGGAGAGAGAGAGAGAGAGAAGTGTTTTCAAGCGGATGTTGAGAGTCCTAAACGTGCGGCCCTCCTGCTAGGGGTTGCTTCCGGTGGTCGAAGGGGCGGTGTTGTCCCTTACAATGTAGCCGATGCTAGAAGGAGACTTGCTTGCGAGGGTAGGATGAGGCGGCATGGTTACCTATACCACAGACTTTGCGACCTCCTCATTCTTTGGGGCCCTTCGGCTCGGATGTGCAAGGTGTCCCTTCTTTGTGGATGGTTCCATCATGTCATCCCTGTCCTTGTGAGATGACCATGCTATAGCCGTTCTCCCCTGCATCCTATGCTCCGGGAGCCGCGGTGCTGGGAGGAGGTTTGCGAGGTGCTCCTCTCCGCTGCGTTCGTTCTCAATGGTGGTCGGGAGTGTCCCGCAAGCCTCCTTGTAGCATCATAGCTTCTGGAGCTTGGGCCACTTCGTTAGGCTCTTAGTGTGGCTTTGGTCACACTTGTTATTTGGTGGTCAAAGAAAAATTTGTTTGTAAACGTCGTGCTTTTTCTTTGAACCACCATAGGTGCCCGATCTCCTAGGATGGGTTCGTACGTATTTGAGTTATGTTTTCAGAGTCCTAGCCTGGGCTATCCTTCAATTATCATATGATTTGGGCCATGTTTTCGAATGGTGTTGGGGTCTTTGAGTCGCGTTCCCTGACCAGGGGTCGATGTCTCGACCTAGGGCATTCAGATCGTGCCTTTCGTAGGATGCGTTGCTATCCTTTTGGCTGCCAGCTTTGTCAGCCTTTCCCGAGGGGTTGGTGCCTTTTGCGAGGCTCCAAAATTGGTTTGTGGGTTGAGAACCCGAGGCTTTGAGAGGAGTCGGTCGAGGCTTGACCTCCACCTTGTTGCGGGGTTGTAGGTATCCGCCTCCATTTTTCCCGTGATGCCCTTTTCTGACCCAAGGGGCCATGATGCCTTGTTATGGGCAAGTTTGGTTTTATTACGTGGGGAGAGACATGTCCACCATAACCACGTGGGTGAATCGCTACGCCTCATTGGGGTTGATGAGTAATTTGAGCGAGACTCAATATCCTCCACAATCGATGTGAAGTTCGGCTATGCCTTACCGTGAGACGTCCCATAAAGCATCGGCCATCAAACCCGTTGGTCCCCGACCACCTCCGCAGCGGACAGAGGGCAAGATGCCTCCCCAGAGGGGGTCAATCTGGGCAACTTCTAAGCGGATGAATCAAACACAGGGAGAGATGGTCGAGAGGTTTCGCACCACCGATAAGAGCCATAGGGGCCCATCTCACCCTACCCTAACCCTTTGTGGCCTCGAGCCCTTCTAAGGGCTGGCCCAAGAGAGGGTTTTCTAAGTTTGAGATGGGGTCATGGTCGCGATTGGTTGCATTGCACTTGGGTTTGGGGCTTCTTGCCTCCTCAGCCATAGCGTGACTTATCAGCATCCATTCGTGTGTGATTACACACTATGCCACACGGTCATGATGGCTGAGGGCCACTCTGCGCATGAATCCTAGGGGCAGTCGACCTCCCTGGATTTTGTGTCTTAATGGCACCCCTACATGTTACAGTGCATCGGCTCATTTTCTGAGGGTTTGTGGGGCCCGTTCTAGGGCAGACTCCGCGTGGACATGTTTCGCATCCCTGATTACCACCACATAAATAGCCCCCTTTTATCCGAGCCCATCCCTTACCTTGTTCTTGCTTTCTATTGCCGTTCCTACAATTGAAAGAGAAAAAGGAAAGGGGTCGAGCTTGTGATGGTTACCTCTAGGTTGTGTGTGCCGCCGCCGCCATTGTCTGTCCCGCTTCTTGCATGTGCCGCAAGATGTTTGACTGGATACCTTCAACAGTGATGGAGGTGAGGCTGGAGCAGCTCGTAGAGAAGGGCTTCCTTCCACCAAAGGAGATCGCTGGGTGGAGGGCTACCACTGGTGAGATGTTCCCTCTTTCGTAGCCCGGGAAGGCGGTGTGATTCACCAACTTCCACGAGCGTGGGTTTGCATGGCTTCCTTCAAGAGTATCGGGTCCAACTGTAGCATCTTCGTCCAATACAGTGATGCAGCTGGCGAGCTTCGTCGTTGTTTGTGAGGCCTTCCTGGGGATAGATCCCAACAAAGACCTATTACGACAGGTCTTTGAGGTGAAGACCCCCAAGGCACATGGCTCTGATGGTAGTGTGCTCGCCCTAGTGGGCAGGATGAACATCCAGATGCGTTGCGGGGTTTCCCATAGCTATCCATGCCTGTTGC